ATCTCTTATCATGAGTTAGATTGAACAATTTTTACATGTTTAAGGACTTTTTTTTGGTGACATACCTGTTAGTATCTATTGCCCCTTTTTCTTTCTTGGTGTTTTTCATGTTTTTTGGTTCCCCCCCTCACTTTTTCATGAGTTCTCTACGTATTACGGATATAACCCTTTGTTGTATGCAAGTTCTAGATATTTTTCCCAATTTGTAATTTTTCATTTTGCTTTGCTTATGTGTTTTTCTTTTGCAATGTATTTTTTTAATGAATATATAATCTTTTCCCTAATTCCTCCTGGATATTTAGTCATAGTTGGAAATGGTTTCTCACCAGCAAGTTTATAGAGGAACTTCACTGTGGGTGTACTTCTGTGGACAGGAGAGGGAAGAGAGAACGATGGATCATAAGGGGTGTTGGGCATTACAGGAACCCTGAGAGGAGGTCTCATCTTGGGAGAAATCTGTGAAAACTATCCACTAAATCAGGAGACTTAGATGTGCAGATCAGGGTCCCAGTCTGGGCTTGTCTTTGAGAACGTGGTCTCTGTGCTTTCTGTCTCCTGTGGATCTGGGTCCAGGCCCCCACCACTGGGAGACAAGGCCCTAAATGAAGCAGAAACTCCATGTCACCTCTGATGGACCCCTCAGATAACTAAATGGGAGGGACCACCCTCCTAGAGATAAGACAGACACAAAATCACTCTCGAAATCTATCATGCAACCCAGCCAAGAACTAAGAGAAAGTAACGCTCTAGCTCGCACCCATGACAGAACCAAGACTGAAACCACACAGTGTTATAACCTTGACATTCACTGTCCTTCTGGGAGGGAAGTCTCGTCAGGAGAAAGTAGTAGCCTCTTAGGGCTGTGCAAAAGAACAGAGGTGAGGGTTACGAGCAGCCTCAGTTTCCCAAGTACAACCTCTCCCCTCTCAACTGCATTATTTCCTGTTTAGATGCCAGGTTTCCTGGACTCAGGGTGAAGCTTGGACTAAACTTGTTTGGAATGGAGTCCCTTTGAGGTCATACCTCACCACCGCATGGTGTGCGCACTAGCATCCACCTTGCTGCCTGTGGATGTCTCCAGTTACCCAGGTCTACTGATCAGGAGGGGGAAGGTATGGGATGCAGATGTGGAATTGGACTGACCATGCCTGGTACACAGTAGACACATAATTCACATTTAATAAAGAAATGAGATGCAGATGCAGGAGTAAGCAGGAAGTGAAAGCTACCTACATGTCCTTTCATTCTTTTTATACACATGAATTCTTTAACGGGCATTGGGATCATACAACAGTTAATTTTCGTAATCTGCTTTAAAGGAAACTTTTTGTTTCTATTCCTAAAAATTATATATTTTCATTGGGAAAAAAATAACCCATGGAAAATGAAGAAAGATGCCTCTAAGTAGATGTGTGTGATAGTATAGTGGGTCATCTATGAAATGGCATGTTGATACCTACCTCAGATCTGTTGTGAGGAAAAATGAACAAACCGATAGAAGATATCTGATCTATAATATCATAAAACTTCAATAAATATATGTATGGTTTCTCCTCTGTTCTCCCCTAAGAAAACAGATGACTTAAATAAAAAGAGCTCATAGAGATCATTTGGATTTGAAGGAGCAGAAAGGAAATGTATATGTTATGAATGTTATGCCATATATATTCTCTTTCAGAGCTTCTAAAATGGACACACCTGTTTTCTCAGTTTCTTTGCTAACAGAATCAGGAGACACTAATTTTAGTCGCTTTTTCTCTGCTGTGTTCAAAGTCTTAGAGTTGCCATGTCTCAGCTAGCTCTAAACAGTGTCTCAGTGCCTCCTGAATATGACACTTCTTCCCTTTGTCCAGGCCTAATTTTTCTGTCTTTCATTCACACTGTTGCTCAGTTAGGTCTGTACATCCGAAACCTAATCTGGGTCATCCTGGTGAAAGAAGATGTGATTGCAGTCAGTTAGTTTTCCTGTGTTCAGACTAACACCCAAATCCTTCAGTTGGTTTGGGCATGCATCCCATTTTGAGCTTGAGCTGATATTGTATTGCAACTGATGGGCATGTGTGTATTTTCCTTTTCTTATTTTTAGTTGCATAAGGAAGGTACTTTAAAGTTGATTTCATTCTCACATGTTGATTGTTCCTGGGGACTTTGTCTGATTTATCCTGTGACTAAACTTTTCCTCTGAATCCTGCTGTTTAAGCATTCTCCCCTCTGGATGCTGTAGGGCTGGGTGCTAGGTGATCTCATGCAGACCCTCACCCTTTCCCTTCCCTGTGGAGTTCACTGCTTGGCTAACTGGTGGTTAAATACATGGCTTGCTCTTAGCTCAAGGGGCTTTATTTGGGAGAGAACAGAAAGAAGCATGTTGTGAAACTACTTTCATCTCATGACCTTCACTAAAATCCTGGGAAGTGGAGATGTCGTCTGACTGCTGAATGTAAGGTTTATGAGAGAGAAATGCTTGCTGGCATCTCTGATTTTCTCCTAGCCCAACTAGGAATGTCATGTGGTAGATTCATGAATTAGTTCTGAGACCACCCATTACTTAATTCCCGTGGCTTAAGGATTCCCCATGTTGATGCTGACCTACTTTCCTATGGGAAAGGCTAGGGATATTTATTCTTATTATATTTTACACTTCCAAAACCAAGACACTTTTGTTGTAGATAAAAATGGATAGACAATGCATGAAAGGAAAAAAAATCATTAAAAGTCTGTTTCCCGTAGATAAGAACTGTCCACATTTGACTACATATTTTTTTCAGAAATTGTACTATGCAAGTATAATTATGCATTTTGAAGAATAGCAATGAGGTGAAATCCTACTTACAGTTTTATAAACTACTTTTTATGATAAACACCATATTTTGAAAGTCAAGCCAGTCAATATAAGCTCACATACTAATAAAAATGATCCTATAATTTCTAATGATCCATTTAGGTACGATAATAATAAGAATCATTAATATTTGTTCCTGATCTCTTCACTGCCCAGCACTGAGGTAGGTGTTAACCCTATGCTTACTCATTTTATCCTCCTCACAGCCTATGAGGAGGAGCTACTGTTGCCCCACTTTAACCATCAGTCACCGTGAGGGCAGGGCTAGCCAGTCACAAGACTAAGATGTGAACAGATTCTGTGGCTGCTGAGCCCCACAGCTATTCCCATGTATGCTAACTAGTGCTTCTCATCTGATAAGACCCTCAGCCTCACTGTTTATTAGGGCACAATAAAACAAACCAAACCGAGGTACAACATTTTCCCCCAGTTTAATAACAGTGAATTTAAAATATTGATAGTAAGCAATATGGTTTGGAATTGGGGGAATTGTGTCCTGTTACACTGTGGAATGGGCTCCCCAACATCTTGTTCTCCCTTCCAGTGCCTCAGGCATGTTCCTCTTCTAAATTTATGGCTCTCCTGTAGGTGAGCAGAGATTGCTTATGTTTCCCAGTGATTTTATTATTTTGTGTATTTACAAGAGTAATACATATTTGTTATAGGTAAAAATACAACACATAGAAAAGGAAATAATACAATAATACCCTAAACACAGCACTCAAAGGTAATCCCTGCTAATGTTTTCATCTGGGTTATGTTTTCCCCAAAGTTTTCTTATATGGGAATTTGGGTATTTATGCATGTACTGATGCATTCATATGCTTCTGTACAAAAGGTAAGATCTCATTTTAGTTTTTTAACCTGCTTATATCACTGTAGTGGGTTGAATTATATCCCCCAACAAGGTATGTCCAAGCCTTAACCCATACCTGTGAATGCGACTTTATTCAGAAGTATGGTCTGAGCACATGTAATTAATCGTGAGATGAGTTCATATTGAATTTAAGGTGGCCCCTAAGCCCAACGACTGGTGTCCTTATAAGAGAAAGGAAAGGGGGATCTCACACACACAAGGAAGGAGGCCACGTAAAGATGGAGGCAGAGACTGGAGTTTGCTGTTCTAGTGTGGCCCTGCCAACACCCTGCTTTTGGACTTTGGTCTCCAGAAGTGAGAGAGAAAAAAAAATTCTGTTGTTTTAAGCCACGAATTTCATGTTTTTTTGTTTTTTATGGCAACCTTAAGAAACTGATACACTCAGTAAAAACATCCCCCAAACGTCACTGACTGTGAATAAGCATCAGTCTAAGTCCTATTTTTTCATAACAGCTGGGATAGTAATATCAATAAAGATATAGAGAAAACGAAATAAAAAATTGGCTAAAATGTATTATGTACCAAGTGCTTTTGATGTATGAGTTTATCAGTGCTTCCAGCACCTCTATGAGGTAGATACTGTTGCTAGTCCTCATTTTATAGATGAAAAACTGAGGAACAGGGAGAACAAGGACTTGGCCCAGGACTGCACAGTTAGGGAGCAGGACGGCTTGGATTTGTACCCAGCACCTCCTGCTCCAGAGCTTGGGAAACTGTCAAAGATTTGATATTAAGTGACAGGAGCAGTCTGCACAAAGATGCATATTTTAAGTGGTTATTAAAAGTAACACTCAGTATGTTAACATATTTATACAAAGTATCTGAACCTAGTGACAAAAAGGAAGCTTGTGACCTTGGTGGGAGCACGTTCATTGCAATTATGGGGACAGAAGCTACAGTGCAGTGAGATAAGGAGACAGTGGGAAGTGAAGAGTGTTAAAAGGGAATGCAGAAAATGCTTTCTGGAACTTTGATTTTGAAGGGTGGGAGAGAAAGGGAAAAAGAGAGACAGAGGCCTGTGACTGTATGGGGATGAGAGGTACAAAGAGGGATTAAAACAAAATCTTCAGTTCCTTAAAAGTATAAAAGTTAATGTGCAGGAGCCATGTCATCTCAGATTTAACCATTGACTTTCCCCATATTTTCCTCTTCCCTCCACATTAGAGGCAAAGAGACAACTCTAATGGAATACTATGGGTTTTGAGCTCAATATATATTTAGTTATTAGTGAATGAAAGAGTGAAACAAAGAAGTGTTAGTAACCCTCGGAATTTTGCCTCTCAGGGAGACAGCAGATGGCTGGAGTCCTGGTGTGATGTGGCTGGATGATGCATAATCTCAGGACCCCTGCACTGGTGAATATGGGGTGAGTCCCAAATTTTCCTATAAACATATTAACGTACAAAGCAGTCCAGGAGCAGCAGTTAGGCAAACACTACGGCTTGCTGCCCTGGTGCCATCTCTCACTGAGCTCACTAGGTGAGTCAAAGGCAAGCCTGTCTTCCCAGCGTGGGGAACTGGGTTAGGATCAGCACACAGGAATGATATGGAGCAGCTCTTAGGAGATTCTGTAACACCAGAGAATGAAGAGAACCTACTATCTCAAACCCTTCAAGTCAACACATGTCAGAGAGATATTTGCTCCCTTCCTCTAGATGTATGTAATCTCTGTAGGAGAAACAGTGAGAACTTTTTCATAATTCCTGCCTTAGTCCCGAGGCTCAGGCAGCCCCTACTGTTGGATCCCAACATTTAAAAGGCACTGAAGTCCCACCACGTGCCATATACTCTGGGCAGGTTTCCTCATTCACCCCTCAGGACAGCTCTGTGACACAGATATCGTGAGTCCCACATCACAGATGCCCAAGCTCAGGTTGACAGAGCCTAGGTCACCTCTCCAGGTAAGTGGTAAGATGGGATGAGTTTCCATCCCTCACCTTCTCTAGAGGACACAGAGCAGTCTCCCTTTCAGAAGATGGGCTTCCAGGGCTGGAGAAATGGTCGATCACACTCCCTGCTATTGTGCCCTGTGGGTACTCACTCACCAACCCTTCTGGGTGAGGAAGGTGACAGAGGAGATGAAATCCCGCACCTTGTGTCAAGAGACCTGGGTGTTGGCCATATCCATTGGCTCATCCTTGAAGTGCTGAATTGGACTGGTGCAGAAGCATAGATGGGACAGGTAACCCAGAGGGGAGGAAAGTGGTATGTACAGAGCTACTTTAAGCAGATGCATTTTATATTTCATCTCCTTTGATCATAACCAGCTATTCTCTCCCTCTCTCTCTCTCTCTCTCTCTCTCTCTCTCTCTCTCTCTCTCTCTCTATATATATATATATATATATATATATATATATATATATACAGGGCAACAACTTTATTTTCTCAGGATCAACAGCTAACTGTGGGATTATTCTAAAGTTTTTCATTTTTTGTCTTGACTCTTCTTGGGCTCTGAATAATTTAAACTCTAGGGGCTGCCTTATTTGCTCTTGGAGTGTTGTTCACTGTATTTTTAGAATTGTGAACTACATAATTTTTAAGTTGCAATATTATTGAGATTTAAAACACATTCTAAATGGAGAATATACTAAGAATTGTTTGAAAACAGGGGAGAAAGCATATGCAAACTACTACTCAGATACTGGGTTAGTATCCCTGGTTTGTGTTACATGCTTAATAACAAACAAAGAGATTGGCTCATAATTTAAACAGCAAATTCGTGTAAAATTATAAATGAACAATAAACATGTCAAAATCTGCCCAAACCACAAGCATTAATAAGATGCAGATATAAATCCTAAGAATTCATATTGAGTGGAAAAGACAAGATGCAAAAGATGAGTAAGGTGACTCTTTTTTCTTTTTTTTTAACATCTTTATTGGAGTATAATTGCTTTACAATGGTGTGTTAGTTTCTGCTTTATAACAAAGTGAATCAGTTATACATATACATATGTTCCCATATCTCTTCCCTCTTGCGTCTCCCTCCCTCCCACCCTCACTATCCCACCCCTCTAGGTGGTCACAAAGCACCGAGCTGATCTCCCTGTGCTATGCGGCTGCTTCCCACTAGCTATCTATTTTACGTTTGGTAGTGTATATATGTCCATGCCACTCTCTCACAGTGTCACAGCTTACCGTTCCCCCTCCCTATATCCTCAAGTCCATTCTCTAGTAGGTCTGTGTCTTTATTCCTGTCTTACCCCTAGGTTCTTCATGACATTTTTTTCTTAAATTCCATATATATGTGTTAGCATATGGTATTTGTCTTTCTCTTTCTGACTTACTTCACTCTGTATGACAGACTCTAGGTCCATCCACCTCATTAGAAATAGCTCAATTTCGTTTCTTTTTATGGCTCAGTAATATTCCATTGTATATATGTGCCACATCTTCTTTATGCATTCATCTGATGATGGACACTTAAGTTGTTTCCATCTCCTAGCTATTGTAAATAGAGGTGCAGTGAACATTTTGGTACATGACTCTTTCTGAATTATGGTTTTCTCAGGGTATGTGCCCAGTAGTGGGATTGCTGGGTCATATGGTAGTTCTATCTGTAGTTTTTTAAGGAACCTCCACACTGTTCTCCATAGTGGCTGTACCAATTCACATTCCCACCAGCAGTGCAAGAGTGTTCCCTTTTCTCCACACCCTCTCCAGCATTTATTGTTTCTAGATTTTTTGATGATGGCCATTCTGACTGGTGTGAGATGATATCTCATTGTAGTTTTGACTTGCATTTCTCTAATGATTAATAATGCTGAGCATTCTTTCAAGTGTTTGTTGGCGGTCTGTATATCTTCTTTGGAGAAATATCTATTTAGGTCTTCTGCCCATTTTTGGATTGGGTTGTTTGTTTCTTTGTTATTGAGCTGCATGAGCTGCTTTTAAATTTTGGAGATTAATCCTTTGTCAGTTGCTTCATTTGGAAATATTTTCTCCCATTCTGAGGGTTGTCTTTTGGTCTTGTTTATGGTTTCCTTTGCTGTGCAAAAGCTTTGAAGTTTCATTAGGTCCCATTTGTTTATTTTTGTTTTTATTTCCATTTATCTAGGGTGTGGGTCAAAAAGGATCTTGCTGTGATTTATGTCATAGAGTGTTCTGCCTATGTTTTCCTCTAAGAGTTTGATAGTTTCTGGCCTTACATTTAGGTCTTTAATCCATTTTGAGCTTATTTTTGTGTATGGTGTTAGGGAGTGATCTAATCTCATACTTTTACATGTACCTGTCCAGTTTTCCCAGCACCACTTATTGAAGAGGCTGTCCTTTCTCCACTGTACATTCCTGCCTCCTTTATCAAAGATAAGGTGACGATATGTGTGTGGGTATATCTCTGGGCTTTCTATCCTGTTCCATTGATCTATCTTTCTGTTTTTGTGCCAGTACCATACTGTCTTGATTACTGTAGCTTTGTAGTATAGCCTGAAGTCAGGGAGCCTGATTCCTCCAGCTCCGTTTTTCGTTCTCAAGATTGCTTTGGCTATTCGGGGTCTTTTGTGTTTCCATACAAATTGTGAAATTTTTTGTTCTAGCTCTGTGAAAAATGCCAGTGGTAGTTTGATAGGGATTGCATTGAATCTGTCGATTGCTTTGGGTAGTAGATTCATTTTCACAATGTTGATTCTTCCAATCCAAGAACATGGTATATCTCTCCATCTATTTGTATCATCTTTAATTTCTTTCATCAGTGTCTTATAATTTTCTGCATACAGGTCTTTTGTCTCCTTAGGTAGGTTTATTCCTAGATATTTTATTCTTTTTGTTGCAGTGGTAAATGGGGGTGTTTTCTTGATTTCACCTTCAGATTTTTCATCATTAGTGCATAGGAATGCCAGAGATTTCTGTGCATTAATTTTGTATCCTGCTACTTTACCAAATTCATTGATTAGCTCTAGTAGTTTTCTGGTAGCATCTTTAGGATTCTCTATGTATAGTATCACGTCATCTGCAAACAGTGACAGCTTTACTTCTTTTCCGATTTGGATTACTTTTATTTCCTTTTCTTCTCTGATGGCTGTGGCTAAAACTTCCAAAGCTATGTTGAATAAGAGTGGTGAGAGTGGGCAACCTTGTTTTGTTCCTGATCTTAGTGGAAATGCTTTCAGTTTTCCACCATTGAGGCCAATATTGGCTGCGGGTCTGTCATATATGGCCTTTATTATGTTGAGGAAAGTTCCCTCTATGCTTACTTTCTGCAGGGTTTTTATCATAACTGGGTGTTGAATTTTGTCGAAAGCTTTCTCTGCATCTATTGAGATCATCATATGGTTTTTCTCCTTCAATTTGTTAATATGGTGTATCATGTTGATTGATTTGTGTATATTGAAGAATCCTTGCATTCCTGGGATAAACCCCACTTGATCATGGTGTATGATCCTTTTAATGTGCTGATGGATTCTGTTTGCTAGTATTTCGTTGAGGATTTTAGCACCTATGTTAATCAGTGATATTGGCCTGTAGTTTTCTTTCTTTGTGACATTCTTGTATGGTTTTAGTATCAGGGTGATGGTGGCCTCGTAGAATGAGTTTGGGAGTGTTCCTCCCTCTGCTATATTTTGGAAGAGTTTGAGAAGGATAGGTGTTAGCTCTTCTGTAAATGTTTGACAGAATTCACCTGTGAAGCCATGTGGTCCTGAGCTTTTGTTTGTTGGAAGATTTTAAATTACAGTTTCAATTTCAGTGCTTGTGATTGGTCTGTTCATATTTTCTATCTCTTCCTGATTCAGTCTTGGGAAGTTGTGCATTTCTAAGAATTTGTCCATTTCTTCCAGGTTGTCCATTTTATTGGCGTAGAGTTGCTTATAGTAATCTCTCATGATCTTTTGTATTTCTGCAGTGTCAGTTGTTACTCCTTTTTCATTTCTAATTCTGTTGATTTGAGTCTTCCCCCTTTTTTTGTCGATGAGTCTGGTTAATGGTTTGTCAATTTTGTTTATCTTCTCAAAGAGCCAGCTTTTAGTTTTATTGATCTTTCCTGCATTTCTTTTTCATTTATTTCTGATCTGATTTTTATGATTTCTTTCCTTCTGCTAAATTTGGTTTTTTTTTTTGTTCTTCTTTCTCTAATTGCTTTAGGTGCAAGGTTAGGTTGTTTATTCGAGATATTTCCTGTTTCTTAAGGTAGGATTGTATTCCTATAAACTGATTTGCTGCATCCCATAGGTTTTGGGTCGTTGTGTCTCCATTGTCATTTGTTTCTACATATTTTTTGATTTCCTCTTTGAATTCTTCAGTGATCACTTCGTTATTAAGTAGTGAGTTGTTTAGCCTCCATGTGTTTTTATTTTTTACAGATCTTTTTCTGTAATTGATATCTAGTCTCATAGCATTGTTTTCGGAAAAGATACTTGATACAATTTCAATTTTCTTAAATTTACCAAGGCTTGATTTGTGACCCATGATATGATCCATCCTGGAGAATGTTCCACGAGCACTTGAGAAAAATGTGTATTCTGTTGTTTTTGGATAGAAT